TATTGTTACACCAAAATCACATATATATTGATTGAACAATTATAATTACTTGTAGATTTTCTAGTAGGGCAGACCAGAAATATTAGAAAATAGTAAAATAAGTTAAAATGTTAACAGGACAACGAGTGTGCTGTTTCGAGCTCCAAGCCAGAGTATAAAAGGTGTAATGATTGCATTACAGGCAGCTCTAGGAAAGGGTTAGGGGACAGTCCCCTATCTATCTATTGTTAAAGTTTTATATTATCAAATATAAGATATTGTAATAATTTCTTTAATTAATTATACTCAATTTCTATGTATTCATGCATGTTTGGCAAATAAATCAACCATTACATTATATGTCATTAATGTTATGTCACTGAGCCTAAATGTCTTGATGCAAGTGGTTTAGCGCATTTCATATGCTGTCATGTATGTCTATTCAATTTAATGCTGAGGTGCGTATGTATCGTCATGTGAACTACCAATTTACAGTTGTTAACAGTCTAATGCGAATGGTTAAGTTTCGGGTGGGGAGGGCAAAGGATTATATGAAGAAAATAAATGCTACTCCACAAGTCATGATACGTATGATATTATATTATATATATATATATATATATATACTAGTATATATATTATATATATATATATATATTATTATATTATATATATGCAACCCAATATACATATAAATTATTTTGGTAAATAAGCTATTCGCACCCCCCTGAATAAGTCTGAACCTGACCAAGAACATAGCACTGAGTGAGCACACCCATTGAACCAAGGTCTATATAAGTACTTATATAGACTTGCACTGAACGACGTCGGATGTTAGTTGGCGTCGAGTTACAGATGGCGCTGGACGACCCGGGAGATCACATTTTTTAGAATGCGTTAGATAAATGTTTCTGTCTTTCGTATACAGTCTTTGTAGAGAGACCCGGCATGCGCAGTGAAGAATTTGGTCAGTATTCCCGCAAGCTCCGTTTTCACCTCGTTTTATTATTTTTTATTTTAATTAAATAACTTAGTTATTATTAATTGCTAAACAAGTTATTTAATGAAAAGTGATTGTTATTTAAATAACTTCAAGGCTATAGTTAGTTTGTCGATTAGTGGTGACGCTTTTCCATATACCGGTTAATTATATATAAAAAAATCCTGCTAAGTGCAGCATAAATTTCACTGTATATGTTTATACCACGCACTGCAGATGTAAAACAAATTTGGCGTTCCCGCGTTTTTTCAGTCGCGAAGCGCTAGATTTAGCAGGAATACAAAATGTTAGCGCTGGCGATCCTTTCGTGCGCCAGGCCTAGCGACGCTACCTTCGAACGTTGGGTAAGGCTCCTTCACTCAGATATCGTGTGCAGCATGGGCGAAAGGTTTAAAAGTACGGGACATTCTGATAACCGAAACGAATTAATATTCATACTGTTCATAACTTCGTCACTAAGCAGTAACTCGTATTTCCATGAGCCACACCACACAAATCTACAACACACATCTATATCACACACCTACCCAACACACAAACCTCACCATGTATTACACACACGACCACACACTCGTTTATAAATTATTCACACACATCCACACACAGCACTCAACACACACACACACACTATATCAACACGCACACACACATGAATGAAGCATCTATCATTCTGATAAAAGAATCTAATTACGATATTGTTTTATTCAAATAATTTTGGTTCTGGCAGAGAAAGACACTTATATTTTAACTAACTTGATTATGGTGCAAAGCCGGGAATGTATTTACACATCTTTACATCTTAGTTTTTTTGAATTTGGCTGCTTATCAGAGATATCAAGCATGAAGTATAAATTCACTGTACTTCTTGTGCGAATAATGGGGGAAATCTCCTGCCTCCACACTCATTAGTGTGTCCTGATATCGATAACAATCATTTCGAGGATACCTTTCGGCATTTGAGAAATAGTCAAACTACACTTTAGCGCTCGTTTATGTTCTACAAAATCAACATAATAACTATATTTACCATGTTTGAATGACCAATATTTGAAGAACGGAAGATTAAATGGCTACTTAGTTTTAAAAAATATTTAATTAGAATCCGCATTTGTTATTTACATTCGATCAATCGATACTTTTGTTATCAAACTAGTAGGCGGTTTTAGCCTCTATCTATCAAAATACTATTACCTATTTACTTCGATTGGTCCTCAGATTATAAAAGTGGACCAAAAGTGTACTGATAGTTATTCCGCTGTACACTGTATATCCTATAATCGTATATTGTTTATATACATATATATATTATATATCTAAAGTTTATTAATATAATATAATTAGTACATATATTATTTAATTATCTAATATAATTATCTTGATTATATACTTTTATGATATATATATTAGAATACTATATATCTCTCACACACACTATTCACATATATATATAAATATAGTAAATACATAGTAATTATATCTCGTATATGTATATTTAATACATATCTTTTTTGCATATAATAAAGTACATAGACAGATTCATACACACACACACACATCCACAACACATTCACACACACACACACAACTAACATCTATATTAGTAATATATAATATATATATATATATATATAAGTATATTGTATGTATGTGTTGAAAATTGCAATATATATATATAATTTATATATATATATTATGTCATATATGATATGATGGTATGTATGATGATCACGCACACACACACACACACAGATATATGTATATATATTATATACATATTTATGTATTTATACATGTAAATATATGTTATACATATAAATAATGTTCACTAATATATATATTAGAGATATATATATATATTATATAATGATATATGTATGTAGTTATGTTAAGTGTAAGACTTGTATAAATAAACAGGACTACATAATTATACAAGATCACGCACAGTCATATACTCGAGGAAACACAAAACAAAGAAAAGCAAGAAGGCGGAAGCGCAACTCGCTCGCACCTGCTGAGCCAGACTAGTAAAAAGGGAAAGACTAGACCCAGTTCAACTCGAGAGTGCATGTCGTCTTTTTTTGATTGTTCGATGAAATATAACCATAAGATCATTATTTACCATTCTTTTGGAAATGGATGAGGACCCAAACGATCGACCATATCACTAAACATCCGTAACTTTGTGACGTCATCAATAAACCCATGTGCTTTTTTTTCCCAAAACCTCGGTGCTACTGACTAGCTTTCCAAAGTAAAAAACTTCGACAACAAATTCATCAACATCGCCTTATACTTCCAAATACCAATTGTTTTTTTGTTTTCTCCTATACTCTTATTCGTGTAGCCGATTAGAATCCCTAAAACAAACAGAAGAAGAAAATGAGAGAGAGAGAGAAAAAAAAAGAAGAGAACGCGTCTGATTTCTTCATTAAAAATTTACACAAATTTTATTCAATTCGGCGCCGTTTGATTTGGTAACCTTAAGACGCTTTATTGATGTGGTCGATCTGTCAATTTATTATTATTTTTGAGACAATCTGTTGTACCTGAGTGAAAGCTAGGTCATTGGTTTCTTTGTTTCTTTTTCTTATTTTCTTCTTTTTCTTTCTTTTATTTTTTACTATTCTTTTCTCTCTCCATCTGTCTCTCTGCTCTCTCTTGTCCCTCTTCTCTTGCTCTCTCTCTTCCTCTTCTCTCGTCTCTCTCTCTCTCTCTCTCTCTTCTCTCCTCTCTCTCTCTCTCTCTCTCTCTCTCTCTCTCAACACTCTCCACTCTCTTCTCTCTCTCTCACTCTCTCACTTTCTCTCTCTCTCTCTCCTCTCCTCTCTCTCTCTCTCTCTCTCTAATTAATTTTGTTACTCCTCTCTCTCTCCCATTTTCTCCTTGTTTACCCATTTCCTCCATCCTATCTAACTACACGGATAAATAAGCCACACTGAACAATGATATATACATCCATACACACAGACACACACACACACACACACACACACACACACAACACACAACACACAACTACACACACACACCACACACACACACACACCATATTACATATATATATATATTATTAATTATTATACATATATATATTATATATATATGAATATATATATAATATATATCATAGTAAACAACAGGTACGAAAGCAGATGAGTTTCGTATATTTTCCCCTTAGAGTTTGACGGTTTGAAACGCCATAATGTAAATCAGAGAACACCCGAACAAGTGTACAGGCTGTGTAGCGCGACCCACAGCACACCCCATGCTGCGTACACTCTTTAGCTGATATTCTTTCTAACATTCAATCCTTTTAATATATTTATTTACCAAAATAATAAATAAATAAATAAATAAATAGAGATTGCATGTTAGAAGAGTATCTAACATGCAATCTCTTTATTTATTTATTTACCAAAATAATAAATAAATAAATAAATAAAAAGATCCATGTTAGAAAGAGTATCTAACATGCAATCTCTTTTTATTCATTTATCAAAATAAAATAAATGTTCGATATGCGGTTTTATTCATTCATGTATTTATTTTCGTTCAGTTTAGTGGACACTTGTAGAGATCTGCACTTTTTAAAATCAATATGTAAAACAAGTTAACTGAGATAAACGTTTCTTTTACATACCAGCTGCGGAGAGTAAACGTTGCTGGCTCGTTTCCCTATACACGTTTATTGGATATGGGGGGAAAAGTTGATAAATATCTGCCCCAGTTTCATTTTAAGATAGCTGTATATAAAACAGGTTAAGAGAGATAAACGTTTTTTTCTATACTAGTTGGGGAGAGACGTGTAAATGCTGGCTAGTGTCCAGTGAACGTTTAGTGGTTACTGTGGGACATTTTTAAACATATATATAACAGTTTAAGAAAGATAAACGTTTTTTTTTATTTCATATAAAACATTTTAAGAGAGATAAACGTTTTTTTTTATCATCTTTTGCAAGCCAGTTAAGGAGAGACACGTAAACAAAACTTACTAGTGTCCAATTAACGTTCAGTAGGTAAAATGAGGTAAGAAGTTGACAGTGAATCATGCAGAATCGCCAGTGGAATGTATACGATATACATGGTATTCATATACAAAAAACACTTCGAATTCTTGTGTATATCCTTCTTGCCGTGTTAGGAACATTTTCTTTAAGTTTTCTTAAGGTCTGTATATGATTAGATTAGATTGAAGTGAAATACATTTTTATTTATAGAAATTAAGAACGGTTTACTAGTTTTAAAGCTTGGTTGAGATAATAGATATACAAGTTTAAGAGAGTAATGAATGAATTAAAATAACCTAACCTAACCTAACCAAAAAAAATTTAAAAAAGGGAACAAAAAATATGTGATGGATTTCCAACTTGCAGCTTATCATTAATTTCAAAACAATTTACACATTAGCTGTGCTTCCGGGAATTCAAGTTTTATTATCACCATTTATCTTTTTTTTTTTTTTACCTAACTACTGAATTCAAAAATCATAATGATTTTCTTCCAGTATATTTGAAAAAAATACTATGTTTATAGAATACTAATACTGACGATTATGATAATAGTGATGTTGATAATGACAACTCCGGTGATGATGATAATGATAGTGATGATCATGATTATTATTATTACTATTATCATTATTATTATGATATGTCATTATCATCATCATCATTATTGTTATCATGATATATTAATTATTCATTATTATTATTATTTTCATTATATAATTGCTATTATTAGTACAATCACAAACGTTATAATATTTTATTATTCCTATTACTATCATCAGTATTATTGTCACTATTATCAACTATAATGATAATAGTGGAAGAAAAACCCACAATGTACAAACTAGATTTATTGATGAAAGTGAGACAACAGTTTCGGAATCGTCCTCGATTCCATCTTCGGTCTGAAGAGCAAGGGAGACGAAGCGGTATAAGAGGAAAGGAGGCGAAGCACTCGGGAACTACGGGCAGGAGAGGGCAGGAGAACGGAAGCGAAGGGAGTCAGATCAGGTCGAAGGATCAGGCGGTCTATGTGACGGTGACGCATAAGGAGGAGACGAAGGATGTGGGAAGCGAGGAGGCGTCGGCAGGAGAGAAACCGTTGTTCAAGTGAAATGGGCAGCAGCTTAATGAGAGAAGAGTTCCACCAGTCTGCGGGCATGGACATCAGCGAAGGGAAGAGAATGCGGGCCAGCTTCCAGTCCATCTGATGGCCAGTGTCCCACTGATGGCAGAAGAGGGCGTTGTTGGTATGTCCCTGGATACAGCGTACTTATGCTGAGGACAGACGCTTAGTAAGACTGGCGCCTGTTTCACCAAAATACTGCTTATCACAGAGGCACACGGAACAGCATAGTGCCCACCTTCGAGAGAGGAGGGCAGTGTGAACCAGGTTCCGACGGAGGGTATTCCTGCGAAGGAGAGTCTGAGTTGAGAGACTGCAGGGCCGACGGAGGGAGTAGATCTCCTCAGAAGGCAGCTGAGACAGCAGGTGAGGAGACTCATTGGGAGGAGTCATGGTAGAAGGTACGTCGCGCCTGGATAACGCGACGTCTAGGACATGGCGAGGATAGCCCAGTTTGAGAACGACGACGCAGGAAGTCGATCTCTCCATCCAGTACTGGGTCACAATGCGGAGGGCACGGAGAAACAGCGAGGTGCAACCCTCTCTCACATGGTAGTGGATGGTACGAGAAGAAGTGTATGTACATACCACTGTGCATAGGCTTCCTGTATATAGAAAAGGAGAAATGATCAGCAGAGCGATGGACAAGAGTGTCCAAGAAAGGGAGCTTGTCGTCAACCTCCCATTCCACCTTGAAGCGGATGGATGGAGAGAGAGAATTCAGCTGCGACAGGAAATCAGGAAACAGGGCAGGTTCATGGGGCCAGAGAGCGAAGACGTCATCTACATATCTCAGCCACATGGAAGGACGAGGGGAGATGGAAGGGAGGCTCGACCGAAGAACTCATGTACAGGTTAGCCAGAAAGGGAGAGAGGAGAGCCCATGCAACACCGAAACGTCTGTGAGTAGAAACGACCTCAAAGAGAAGAATTCGACTCCACACACAGAACGAGACGAATCAGCTGGAGAAGACTATAATAATAATGATGAACGCTATGAATGATAATGATGATGATGATAATGATATGTTATAATGATTATATTGTTATTATTATAATTGTTATTCATATTATCATCATCATTATTGTTATGATATGTATCATTATCATTATATATTATTCATTCATGATTATCATAATGATGATAATGATGATGATGATATTTGCAATAACGATTAATTAATAACAATATAATAATATTATTATTGTTATTATTATTATTCCTATTACTATTACTAATATTATTATCAAATATATTATATTATTATTATATTATTATTATACTATTACATTATTATTATTATTATTATTATTATTATCATCATTATTATCATTAGTATCATTATTATCAGATTGATCATTATTGTTATCATCATTATTAACATCATTGTTATTATCATAATTCTTGTCATTATTATTATTATCGTTAAAATAGTAATGGTGATAATAATAACGATAATGATAATAACTATAATGATAATTTTGATAATAATAATATATTAATAAATAATAACAACAACAAAACAACAAAAATACTACTTACTACATAATAATAACAATTACAAATATAAATAACAATAATAATAATAATAATAATAATAATAATAATAATAATAATAACAATAATAATAATTAAATAATAAATATTATAATAATGCGATGATTAATAACACAGAGTTTGACGTGAATATTCGTGTCCCTTACAACATGAGATTCAAGCGCATGCGTCGTATAAGAACGGCTATAAAAGTGTAAAATGTTACCAGAACGTCAACAAAAGACGGGCTGCATGCGTGAGAGCCGCACATCGACGAGGTAGGAGCGAGTGGAGAATCTCGATTTTATTGTTTATCGTACTCCATCGGAATTAGATGACAATTTGCATGAATTTCGTGTGAATTTTGTTGTAGTTTATTTGTATCCCACGGTATTAAAGTACCTCAGTTTACGTGTAATTCTACTTATGAAGGCAGTAACGTCGTTTAAAAAATATCGACCAGGCAGTTTGTCACCGCGAAGAAATTCACATCAGAGTGATTTGTAATACAATTACACTAATAATAATAACAAAGCCATCACCATTGACACTTTGCTTTTAACAGGATTGGTATTGCTGTCAATACATCTGCGGGCGTGGATTATGGGCGCCGCGTTCCCTCAGTGGGCGTGTGGCGTAGAAGCGATCGTGGTGTGTCTGCTTCTATTAACGCAGCCTGTCTTGAGCAAAAGGCCAGGTAAAGGTGCTGTCACACTAACACTTTTTTCCACCAATTTGATGACAATTTTCTGAAATTTTGTCCATTTTTGAGCGAATTGTCGATTCTCCAGTCAGACGATAATGATCGTTTCCGTCTGAAAACCTTTCCGTCAACTTTTTTT